ATTCAAAGGAAATAAAAATGATAGTGGCAGCTCTTCAAGTAAAGGCCACAAGCTGCCTGCAGTGCCAATTCAATAACTAGAAATCTGGTAGGCACAGGCATGCCTCACACTGAAGATCAGAGATACGCAAAGAGGGTCTCGAGGCCCACCCATGAGCTGCTGTGCCCATTAAACTGAGTAAATAGCTTCGGTGACAATGAGAAAGGGAGTGATGAGGACAGAAAGGAGAAGGCATGTGGGGGCACCTTTTAGATGATCAAAGAGATGGAGGTCGCACCTCACAAGAGGCACTTGGAAAGTTGCTTGATTTATAAATATTAGGAACATGAAATTTCAGGGTATACAAAGCAAAGCCTGTCAGAAATGGTTCTACATAAATAAGCACAAGCACAAACTTAAATCAACTACTGGGCTTGCAGTTGAGAAGAGAACAGCTATGGAGGATTAAAATATTTGGATGAAGAAGGCGTCGACGTGTGCAGAAAGTCAAAGAACTATATTCTGCCTCCTGTTTATAAATATCTTACACTTTGTATATCATGGGTTTACTAGCAGAGAAAAGCTTCTTTCTGAATTTTTCCAAAGAAAGGAGATTGCTGGATTGGTCTGCTGCTAAACAATGTTTCCTAAATGCCTGTGATGTGTGTCAGGTTCTGAACTAGGGAATAGGGAGCATATTGATTAGTAAAGGATGGGACTTGCCCCCTAGGACTTTGCAGTTGGGCAGGTGAGGCAGACAGATCCATTAGGTGAACACTCTCAATGCTGGGGGAAAATGAATAACCAGCGGCCTGCATGCATCAGGGTACTTAGCTACGAGGTTCTTGCCAGGGGAGCCCGGGACTCGTCGAATGCTTTCCAAAGAAGTGTTTCCAGGGGACACGTGGGGTGAATAGGAGTTAGATTTCTAAAGGAAGTGGGCAAGACTGAGATGAAGTAGAACTTCTTTCTAGAAGGAGAGAACAGGATGAGCAGAGTTCAAGGAAGTAAGTTTGAGATATATAGATATATATCGATATATATATATATATATATATATATATATTTTTTGGTGGGGAGATAATGGGATGAGAGAATAGCAAGTATTGGAAGGTCAATCATATTACTCCACCATAAATTGCAAATCGGGAAGTAGCAGGGGATAATGTTAGAAAGATCAAAGCTATACATGTTTTTCCTCATTAGTGTCCTGATCTATTTCATGTGGATCCCTCCATCTTCCTGCATAGTGTGCCTTTCTAAATAATCACATGTTTAGTACATTTAATTGAATACATATTGTTAGTAGCCTACTTTTGGCAGTGGAGAAGCCAATTGGTATAGCAGTAATTCGCCTTCTGCTCCTGCCAGTTTTGGCTACTATAATAAGTTCTCTTTCTACCACTACCTAACATAGGCTGGGATTTGTTCAGTCACATCCATTATTCTCTTGCTTCATTAAGTAGCAGCATTGTGGTCTGGGGAATCAACCTTAGCTTAAGGTCTCTTGCTTTTTTGGGTAGTTCTGCTGTGGTTTTAGTACATAAATAGGCATATAATTCACTCCTGGCAAATGAAAAAGTTTGGAAGAGTTCC